CTGCAGGTGTAAACAAACTAACAAAAACTCCAAAATTTCTTCTAGTTTACCCAGAAATTATTCATCAACAAAGATGTTCTGACATAAGTGATTTAATACTATTTATACTTGAATTGTTTCTTCAAGTCTCATGGCATGTTTTCTACCACAAAGTGATGTAACTGTCTCCAAATAAAGAAGTCAGGTGATTTGTGTATTTTTCACCCAGGTTTGGAACTAGTTGTTTGGATCAATCCATCTACATAGCACCCATCTATCTGCCCTGTGACAAAGATAGTATGTTGCAAGTTGACTGGCACAGGGCACAGTCAAAAGCCATCAGATACAACTAAAACCATATGGAAATTTAACTCAAGTATGCCTGTTGTTAGCTATCGCCATGTTGCCCCCCAACTCAGATGAGAATCTAAGAGAAAGAAGTGCTGCCCAGTGATGATACATCCCCATGGCCAGCTCTGGGTTGAACTCTTGTGATCCATAGGGTTTTCTTTGACTGAATTTGGGCAGTAGATTCTCAAATTTTTTTTTCTTTGTAGCCCTATCACAGACTGAAAGTATAGCTGAAACCTATTAGCTAATACTCAAATATGAGTTTTATACATAGAAAGTGAAAATTTTACCAGTGTATCACCAAAGTCCTTTTCCCAAATTAAGGATTGTTGTTGGTACCATCAAGTTAGAACCTACTCATAGCTGTCCCTTTGGCAGCTTTTCAGAGACTTACACCACATGGGAAGAGATTGTTCATCTTTCTGCCTCAAAGCAGTTGGTGGATTCAAATCACTTGGGTCTGGCTTGGCAGCACAGCTCCTTCCTTACCACCAGGCTACCAGAGTTCCCTGAAGCTAAGGACCAAGCGTTAGTGACTCTGCCATATAGCTATTAACCACAGCCATTGTCTAACAGCTACAGAACTCTATAAATACCTTCCTACAACTCAAAAGCAAAGTAAATTCATAGAGAATTTAGTACAATTTGAAGTGCTACTCAATGTTTGCTATAATATAAAGAAAAACTTAGATTGCTTCTTTTATTAATACTAAAGGATCGTTAATATCTTCTGGGTAAAGAAAACACATTACTGGAAAAAAAATTTAAAGGAATAGGAGACCTTTACTCACCATGTGCCTGTTCCAGGCCATGGTTTTAGTAATTATTTGCTAAGCAACAGAGAGGTGGACAAGGACTAAGGATGAAAGAAGAAGAATCAATGTCTTTGAGTTGTGGTTCTGGAGAAGAGTATTGAACTCTGAACTCACAGACTGCCAAGAGAACGAACAAGTCTGTCTTAGAGAGCAAGAAACTAAATTTCTCCTCAGAGGCAAAGATTTTGAAGCTCTGTCTCACATACTTTGGGCATGTGGCCAGAAGGGACCAGTCCTTGGAGAAGGACATCATGCTTGGAAGGGTGGAGAAGCACTGCAGGAAAGGAAGACTCCAGATTAGTTGGATTAACACTGTAACTGGAGTCATGGGGGTAAGTATGTTGGAGTCAGCAAGACTGGCTCAGGACAGGGCAGAGTTGAGAGCTATTATACACAGGGTTGTCATGAATCGTAGATGACTTGATGGCATATAATAACAGCAACAACATTCACCCCAAAAAAGAATAAAAGCAAATAAGATAGATTGTAAAGTCTAGTCTTTTTTATTGAGTGAATTTGGTAGCAATTTAGAATGACATCATCATACAGCCATTATACATAGTTATATTGTCAGTGGTTATTCTATAAAATTTATTCCTACAACATGGTAAGGACTCAAAAATACTAGACATATTTAAAACAAATAGTCATATATTTTTCTTTTACAGTTCTGTTGTTTTGGTCATTTGGATTTTTTTTTAATTTTCATTAAGAATCTCTGAAATGATAATATGTAATAGGATAGCACTAAATTTTGTTTGAAGAAAGTGAAATCTTATCAGATTTGAAAGGATCATGTGTTCAAGAAAAATATAGAGAATTGTATTTTGTATTATATTACACACACTTCTCTTTTGCAAACTCTAGTAGATCACTGGGTAAAGCTCTTGACTGCAAACACAAAGACACATAGTTCAAACCCACCACCTAAAGCTTGGGAATAAGAACTGACAGTCAGCTTCCCTAAAGATTTGTGGCCTCGTAAACCTGTGGGGCAGCTCTACTCTGTCCTATAGGATCACTGAAAGTTTGCATCTACTTGACAGGAGTGGATTTGGTTAGGCTTTTTAATAGCAGATAGCAATGTCAGAGACTGGCATGTAATGTAATAGGCACGCACATATATATACTTTCAGAGTTTTAAACCCACGTCAAATCTCTAACTAGCCTTCTGGGAAAAAAAAGTCAACTCAAACATGTCAAAACATGAATAGCAAAAGGCTTACAATTCTTGTTTGTTGTTGTTATTAGTGCCATTGAGTCACCTCATAATGACCCTAGGTACAATAGCTGTGTACCTTGCCCTATCCTGAGCTGGTCTCACTGACTCCAACACACCTACTCCCATTACCCCAGTTACTGTGTCAATGCATCTCATCAGGGTCTTACTCTCCTGTGCTGTCCCTCCACCCTTGTAAGCATGATGTCCTTGTCCAAGGACTGGTCCCTCCTGGCCATGTGCCCAAAGTGTGTGAGACCTATACCAGGAAGTACTGATGGCCCAGTTACTGTGTTACTCCATCTCATCCATGGGTCTTCATCTCCTATAATGTCCCTCCACCTTTCCAAGTATGATGTCCTTCTCCAAGGACTGGTCTCTCCTGGCCACATGTCCAAAGTATATGAGAAGGAGCTTCAAAATCTTTACCTCCAAGGAGAAACTTGGTTTCACCCTCTCCAAGACAGACTTGCTTGTTCTCTTGACAGTCCATGGTATGTTCAATACTCTTCTCCAGCACCACAACTCAAAGGCATTAATTCTTCTACCATCCTTAGTCATTTTCCAGCTCTCTGATACATAGCAAATAATTGGGAAGACCATGGCCTGTAACAGGCATACCTTAGTCTCTAGACTGACTTTCACAAGGTAATTCATCTTTTGATTTCCTACTGCTGGTGCCAAGAGAGCTGATTGTGGAACCAAGCAAGCTGAAACTGTTAACAATCTCAATCTCTTCTCCATCTCTCTTGGTGTTGTCAATTGGCCTAGTGGTGAAAATGTTTGTCTTGTTTATGTTGAGCTTCAATTCATATTGAAGACTACAGTCCTTGACCTTCTGCAGCAAACACCTCAGTTTCAGTAAGCAGGGCTGTGATAAACACAGGTTGTTTATCAGTCTTCCTCCAATCTTGATGCCACATAGACTAATCTAAATTACTCTGCTCAGCTATCTCTTTAAAAAAACGTACTGAGGGTACCACAGGCCAAGGCGGATCTGCCACTTTAACACAATGTGAAAGATTTGTGTGCTGTGCTAATCAATGAAATTCAGAACCATAACAAACATTTCATTTAACCAACCTTTCAACCTCTTTCCTTTCACCACCAAAAGCAGCCACTGTTCGCACAGACGAAATCACTTCATCAGCCACACACCCTGCTTTGGCATAGGCCTTCAACTCATAATCAGTAAACTTGGACACACTCTAAAATGCAAAAGAAGAGAAAAAAAAAATGACAACCAGGTAATTAGGGTAAGTTGGCCTGTTATTTGTGATTCATTTAGAGGAATCAGCTTGTAGATTAGATTCTCACTCTAACATCTTTCAGTGGAAGAATATAAAGTGGCCCAAGTTTGATCCATGTTAAGCTTCATCTGTGGGTATTTGGTTATTGATAAATCAAAATTATTTTACTGAAATTCAGTCTTTCACAGAACAAAGCAAGTCACAAATCCCTATTTGTATTCTGTGAAGTCTGCAGGGTTTCAGTTATTATAGTAGGGAAGTTTTCAGGTCAAAATCGGTCACATTTCTTTGCAATTGGCCAAAGCCCATTGCACAATTTTTGTTAGACAAACACTGGAGACAAAGACCAGATACTTGTGTAGACTTCATGACTAGTGTGTTAAAATGTGACATGTGATCCCTTTGTGGGTAAATGTTAGCATGTGGAATGAAGGCAAGCTCTGGGCAGGCAAACATTCTAAACCTTTGAAGTTAATTAAGCACAAGAAAACTTCAGAATATCCCACCATTCAATTCAACAGAGGGGCTCAACTAACTACGATAATGATATTTACAAAAAGAAAGTACTAGGCATCTGCACTTCCCAGCAAACAGGTCACCTGGTTCTAACATTGGCTTTATAGTCCAATTCTAGTTAGAATGAACCGTAGAAGCAAGAAGTGGGTGAGGAGAAGCGATTACTGTGAAAGATCAACTTAGAAATCTAAAAAAAATAAGAGCAGTTTCTAGATGTGGAGAGTTTATGATATTCCAATAGTTCTTCCAAACAGATTCTTATCAACCTTAAGTAGAATTTTCATTTACCATGTAAGGGAAAAGTGGTTATAACATCCTTTTTTCACAAGTTCACAGTTTATAAAATTTGTGAACACAAAAATAGCTTTAAAGAAGGTAAGGCTTTTGATCCACATTACATTTTTAATTAAGGTGTTATGGATGACATTCTAGTTTTATCACATTCCACATCCACCATATTTCTGAAATGAGTATTTCTTGCACATAGTGAGAAAATTAAGTAGTTGCAAATGATATCTGCTTTCATTATAAGGGCAAATTCAATTATCTTAGGGCACTTCAATGAAAGTGATCCAGGAGCTTAGAAGACTTGTATCAGAATTCCCTAATTAGGATTTCCTGAGTCAGGTATTTATCTGGCAATTGCTTGTGTTTCTCATCATGAGTAAAAAACCAGACAAAAGCATATAAACCCATGATGACTTGTTATATGTCATATACTGCCTCCCCTTTGTCCTGCCATTGAATCATCGAATTTGCACAAAGAAAGTTTCTTGTATCATTTTACACAGACATGCAGGGACCTGCATTTGAGAAGGGCTCAGTGCAGGGTTACTGCATTCCAAACCAGTGACACATTTATGAGAAGTCAAAATACCAGCATTGAAAGGACAGGGAAAACTACACTCTAAATCTCCTTAAACTCAAGTTAACCTATTAGAGAAGGTTAATGTTTTCTGTCTCTAGCCTGTTAAAAGGTGGCACACGGCCCATTGAGGTTAATTTTATCACAGGTTTGAAATGGTAGATTGAACGTAGTTGGGGTAAGGTCAGAGTGGAATCAAATGTTTGCAGATCCCTGAAAGCCCCATCATGGAATTTGGTTTCTTGTAGCACAGCTGGAAAGTATATGGTAGGAAAGACTGTCATAAAGTCTGCAAGATGTGATAGATTGGGGCGTCGGGGGTGGGGGAAATGAGAACCTCTGGGTAGCATAAAGCAGTGGGTAGCACAAAACTGTGAGAATGGCAACTTAAATGCACCCAGAGGTACCTCCAGAGAAGGGGCTGATGATCTGCTCCTGAAAACCATTGCCACAAAAAGCCCAGGGAGCTCCGTTCTGCTCTGAAACCCAAGAGGCCAGTGTGAGTCAGAATTGACTCAATAGCACTGGTAACAAGTGAGAACTTATCAGCACTTAACTCTGTGCTGGACACTAAGTGCTTCACATGGATTATACCCTGACTCATCGTAATGACTCTAGAAGGTATTATTGCTAGTGTCAAGACGAGGAAGACAAGGTCCTAATGAGCTGAATTTCCTTCTGGATAGCTCACAACCCGTAATGGGAGAGGCATGTAAGGGGCTTAGGTAAATGGAGCAAGAACTTTTCTACTATCACCACAATCATTTTCTCAACTTTCTGAGAAATGGTAAGTTAATGTAGCTACTAGGCTATAGAGACTATTTTGCTAGAAAATTTAGATTGGTGACTGTTGCCCAATTATTTCATTATGGGAACAGTTTTTCACTTAAATTCTATTTGCCTCTATAGCAAGTGACCTATTGTGCTTGATCACATGACCTGCCTTCTGGGATTGCAGTGCAGCTTCTTGCCACTAGGCTACCAGAGCTCACCTGACCTGCCTTCTAATGGGACTTCTCTTAAAGTAAAAAGGTAACATTTTCTCAATACTTTGGAGGGGTTTGGGGGTGGTTCCCCCTCTTCCTTTCTTGTTTGTTTAGTTAGGGTGACCTAAAATGTTTATTCTTACACATTCTTCCAGCCTAAATATCTGTGGAGCCAACCAAGACGATGGATCCTGTCTCTGAAGTTAATCAAATGGAATGGAGAAGACACTTGTGGTGAGAGGAGATTTTGTAACTGACCTGGATGTGCTTGTGCTGTCCTTTTTGAGGATGACCATGACTCAGAAGACAATGGTAAGCAAAAGGCATTTTGAAAAGATTGTGGGTGTTAGAGAGTGACTTGTGTTTCCCCAAATGGATATGTTGACAGTTCTATTACCCAGCACCTGTAAACTTGACCTTGGTTGGAAATAGGGTCTTTTATGATGTTATCACAGACTCTCTGATAGCCTAGTGGCAAGAAGCTGCATTGCAATCTTGAAAGCACATGGTTCGAATCCCACCAGCTGCTTTGTAGGAGAAGGATGGGCAATCCTGTGCAATTAACTGCCTCTGAAAACCCGACGGAGGGTCAGCTATGGATCAGTTTCAACACAATGGTACACAACGACAATAACAACAACATGATGTTATTAGTCAATATAACATATTAACATATATAACATATTAGCGTGATGTCTTTCAGGAGGCTGAATTTGTAGGTCCCCCCGCATGAGATAATAAATTTCTGTTCTTTTAGACACTCGAACATTTACAGCATGGATTTCAAGTCAGCTCATTTGAATCTGAATCCTGTTTTGCTTTTCACTAGCACAGCAGTCCCAAATCCCAACTTTCTTGAGCTCAGATTTCTAATCTCAGTTTCCTATCGGTAAAACGTGGTTAATATTTCCTTTCTAAAACTGTTGCAAGGATTAGAGATTGTGTATAGAAAGTTCCTATTAATGTCTGGTAGAGCACAAGTATAGTTGTTACTGTTTGTTATTAAAGAAATAATATTCACATTATTAATGCATCATAATTCCTAATCTATAGTCTGTTAATTTGATACTGGGAAACAATCAAACACAAGAAATCAAAGCTAACATAATGAATGTAACTAAAAATACTCAGAGGGAGGAATCCAAACTTCACATTTTGGGCTGCTTAACAGAGCCAATGACTGTGCAGGAGACAAAGAAGACGGCCTTACCAGCCCAATGGCAGCTGCTCCAACCCCAATGAGAGGGCTGACAGAAATGATAACCAAAGTCAGTTTCCAGCCCCTGTAAAATCCCAGCAGTAACCCGCAGAGACAGGTGGTCATGTGCTGAATGAAACGGGCTATTTGGTCAGCAATGGCATCGTTGATTTTATTAATATCACTAGAAGCAAGAGAGAGAGTTATTGGTCACTAAAACCTAATTTGGTCATTTCAAATGATCATGTCCTGCTGACAAATATCAGTCTGTTTATTCCAAATACTCTCTTCTCTGTACTCTACTTCCCTCAAATAACACCAAGTACTTCTTGACTCTTGGGGGAAATGCCACACCTAGTAAGACCTTTGAGCCTCTTATTTCACAGCCAAGTAAATTTGTCCTTTACCCAGCTTTCTTAACTAGTGTTCACTCAAGGCTGAGAAAAATCTTTTGTATTTAATCTTCTCTACATCATTCTTTGGTGGTGGTTAGTACTCTTTTTCCACCCTGAAAAGTCCTTCTTTCCCATAGTTGTTAAATTATCAAGCCTCAAGGTTCTAAGTACATATAAGTGGAAATAGGCAATGAATCTTCACTTCTGGCAAACCAAAGAATTGTATGAGGATTAAGGATAGAATGCAATGCCCCTTAATCCCATTACAGCCCTTGTCCAATACTAGGAAAGCTTTCCAAGGATGTGACTTGTAACATCATCTATCCCACAAAAGATAAAAAAGGATTGATGTGAAGGGTGACCTCAGTATCACCAATAAAAAATTGCCAGGAGGGTAGTGTATCCTTTTCTTTTTCAGGAGGATAGTGTGTCCTTTTATTTTTCAGAGGCAGTTAATTTCATGGAAGTAGACTGCCCATACTTCTCCCATGGAGCAGTTGGTGGCCTAGAACCATTTCCTTTGGGGTTTCAGTGTAGCTTCTTGCTACAAGGTCACCAGAGTGTGTCCTTTTAGGAAAATGTCTGCACTGGGAAGTTCCTTGACACCGGAAAGGGCCAAGCCACATGGACATCTTCCTAGAACAACTGACCTACAGATACTGAAGGAGACAAAGACCATCCAGAACCAAATGACAGAGAGAGGGCTTTCCCCTAGAACTGGCACCCTGAATTCTAGCCTCTTAAGCCATACAAGAATAAATTTCTCTTGTTAAAACTGTCCGCTTACAGTATTCCTGTTATAATCGCACTAGAAAACTAAGACTTCACAGTGTCACATAATATTCTAGAAAAAGCAAGCCTCTTTTGTCCCGTGTTTTCATAGATATTTTCTCTCTCTCTCTCTCTCTCTCTCTCTCTCTCTCTCTCTCTCTCTCTCTCTCTGTGTGTGTGTGTGTGTAATATGGATTCTGTTTAAAGGCCATATAGTCTGAAACTCATTGACATCAAGAGGGAACTGATTCATAGTTCACCTTCAAGGTGGTTTATTTTCTTTGTTGGTTTTGTTTTTTGTTGTTGGTTTCGTTTTGGTTTTTTCCCCCTGAAGCTATAAATTGCATAGGAGGAGATTTCCCATCTTTCTCCTTCTGAGAAGTTGGTGGATTCGAGCTACCCACATTTGGATTGACAGTGCAACCCCCTACCCACTAGGCTACCAAAGCTATCATACAGTGGTTAAAAGCACAAACTATGAAGCCACCTTTTCTGAAGTTAAATACTAACTTTTTATGAGAAAGTTATATAATTATTCCATGCTTCAGTTTCTTTACCTATAGAATAGACTATTGTTGTTGTTAGGTGCTGTCAAGTTGAATACATCTCATAGTGATTCTATAAACAACAGATCTGCACCCTGTCCTATCCTGTGCTATTCTCATCATCTGATATGCTAAAAAATCCATTGCTACTATCACTGTGTTAGTCTATCTTGTTGAAGGTTTTCCTCTGATCGTCCACTTTTCCAAATATGATGTTCCTTTCCAAGGAATAATAGCCCCTCTTAACAACCTGCCTAAAGTATGTAAGATGAAGCTGCATTATACTTGACTGCTTGACTGTACTTTTTCCAAGACATGTATGTTTATTCTTTTGGCAGTCCATGGATATTAAGTGCTCTTCTCCTACACTACAACTCAAAGGCATCAATCCTTCTTCTGTCAGCCTTATTCATTGTCCAGCTCTCAGCAGCATAGCAAGTGAGTGAAAAGACCATGGCCTCAATCAGGAACATTTTAGTCCTCAAACAAACATTATTGCTCCTCAATAATTTGGAGAGGTCTCTGACTGAAGACTTTCTCCATGCAATACGTCTCCTGATCGCATGACTGCTGGTACAAAGTGTATTGATTGTGGATCCAAGAAATATGATGCTATTGGTAGTTTCCCCTCCACCTATCATGATGTTGCCAAATTGTCCAGTGGTGAAGATTTTTGTTTGCTTGACATTGAGAGGTAATTCATATAGAAGGTTGCAGTCTTTGATCTACAGCAAATACTTCAAATCCTGCTCACTTTCAGCAAGCAAAGTTGTGTCATCTGTGTAAGAAGGTTATTGATGAGTCTCCAATCCTGATGTCACATTTGTCCAGCTTCTCAAATAATTTGCTCAGCATACAGATTGAATATGTATGCAGAGAGGATATAATCCAGACACACACCTGCCTCGATTTTAAACCAAACAGTGCTCCCTTCCTCTGTTCACACAACAGCCTCTTAGTGTAGGTATAGGTTTCACATGAGTACAAGTGTCCTGGGATTCCCATTCTTCTCAGTGTTAGCCATAACTTGTTACTCAATGCGTAGTGACAAATATTAAAGTATAAATAAAGCATAGAGAACAGTTTCTAACACATGCATGCTGCCTCTGATTATTTTCTTGTTACTCAATGCG